CTGAATTTCCGATGAAATTGTCAAATTAAATATAGAATCAACGTTTCTTTGCTATATAGTTCATATATCTTTGACACATATAGCCCCACTTGCCCCGATTATTATTACTATACATTAATCAAGCTTGAATGATTTTAAAAATGGGCACTTAATCTTAACTAATTTCGAAAGTCCTCTCCAAGGGTCTCGAATCAAATAATCGGATCTATCGATCCGACAAATATTAGCGGAATCGGACTTACGGAAACACTAACCCTGAACTGTTAAGCACTACTTTATATCAATCTACCTAAGAACATACCTTATCGCCTGTTGAATTTATCTCACTTTCCTGTTAAAACCTCAATGAACCCCTTGTTGGTCTGTTCACATGTTGGCCTATGACTTATTCAGTGTATACTCTCACCCTGCGCCTAACACTTTTTTTGCCACCACCAGGTAGTTTTCGGTCAATTAATTCCCTACCTAAGAATAAAGAAAAGCATATTTTGCGTATCATCCTTTATCGCAGTAAGCTGTTACATTTTATTTTTAGTTTGTTGTATTGTTATATTTGTATTATCATCATATTGTTATTATCATATCAATGTCTTCCAAGAAGTTCAGGAAGGCTACGAGATGTTCAGTTACAATGTACAATCAGCTATCTTATATTATAATATGTACACAACACTCACACACCCGTTTTTCATCGAGTTTAGTATTATATATATAATATATAATTATTATCATATATTTGTGTTCTATTTCGGTAGTTTACCTGTCTCTGTTCTGCTTGGATGTTCCTCCTTTTTTTGCTAATTCCCATAACTATTCCTTTCTCAACAGTGGAAAGGGCCACCTTACACGTATCTTTCTCTTACCTCCATCTTTTATATGGTATCAATAACTTCTTTTCCTGTCATATATATATATATATATATATATATATGGTCATCATTGTTATGAATGTTAGCAATTATTATTATTATCTTTTCCCGTACTGATCTGTATTTGTCGCAATCATTATTTCTACGTCTAATTACACCGACGCACAGGCTGCTATCAAAGGTTGCCGAGTTGGCGTAAAGAGTGGGCTCATCATGGACTACATTATATATATATATATATATATATAGATATATATCTCTGCCAGCCAGATTTTTAAATGTGCGCGCCATTAGAAAGCGGACTGTCGATAATGCAGCTCCCCCGATCGCCTGCTGATCGTTATTACCTGTTATTATTATGATCATAATCTTTGTCCATAAATCTCTTGTAATTTTCAATTTTTCGTACAGTTAACTGTCCATCCAAAACAAAATCTGTGTTAACACAATTCTCAGTAATAATACAACGTATGAATGCCAATCAGTCTTCTTCGCTAGATTTTTCCTCCTACGTTTGGTATTTTTAAATTTTTTTTTAGTCTACATGAACGTTTTTCACACGCGCGCATAGTTAGACCGTACCCTATAGGCCATCGAATCATGTGCCAACGGGATGACTAACGCCCAAGCGAGCTGGCCGCACCTCAGCGGATCGCAGACGATTGCCCACCGAGTTCACGCTGCTCATACTTCTTCCCTATCTCTAACCAGATTAACATTTTGCCCGGCTCAAGCAAGCGTCACTAATAACAGAGCGGATATTATCAGAAGCTATCAACTATAATGACAAGATCTGATACGTCAGTTGCGAAGCTCTGTCCCCATCACGTAGAGTACAGCTACTGCAGTGAAATATTATCGTGAAACAGAGCTGATTCTTACTACTAAATACCTGTACGCACAATCCAAAGAATACAATCGTTGTTCGAAGAGCGTTGTGGATAAACAATAAATGCCGACCTTCTTGTCCTTCACCTTGTGGTTGTGGAATTTGGGCATACCTTCCATCGTTTCATTTATATCAATAAGATAATAGCCATTATTATTATATTACTAATAAAATAATTCTAACTGTTAGGTAAATTGCCAACCACCGGATCGTTTGTAGGTTAGAAAAAACTTGCGTAAACGGGGCAACATGTAATGTTGGATTGTTATAGAAATCGATTTAAAACTTCTCCTGGACCTAGACATCCCATTGTCGGTTGTCGAAGAACACTGTCAATTGATAATAGTAATTAATAACATGTATGTTTAGTAATGATTTATACTACCACTGAGTGTAGGTTAACTTCCTGCGGACCGCTTTTTGCGGGATATAACTGGACGCAGCTAAATATTGTTTAGTTATTATCAATTATAATGATATCGTGTAGTAAATAAGATTATAATAGTAATAATAATGATAGTGCTTGTATCAGCATTGGTTGTGTTTCTGTCGTTTAGTATCTGCATATATGTACTATACCATCAATGTTTTCTTAATATTGTATTCACCATAATCGAAAAACAAAAAATACCATAATCACCATGGTTATTTTATGAATATTTATATAACATTTTCATCATCAGCAGCAGCAGCATCTTTGCTGTTAGTTGTTATTGTTGTTGCGTGTGTTGTAGTGTTTTTCGTGTTGTAATATCACATTTTAGGGCAATCGTCTGCTTTAAATTCGTCAGTTACATCAGGATCAATTTTCCTCTTTCTTCTTTCCTCCAAGTTTTTCTTGTATCAGCTGTGTGTTCCTATTAATACAAGGTAGACAATATATATTTGTTTCTATATATATATATATATATATATATATATATATATATATATACGGACAAGACAGTTATAGCGCGGTCGACACTTTCCCAGATTTAGGACAACATTAGAACGAAAAATGTTACCGTTTTCTTTTCTATCTGTTTGTTTTTTCGGACGACTCCCACTACGGCAATAGATCTGTACTGAACCGCAATCAGCGTTCCCCGTGCGAAAATTTCCTGGCGGCTCGCTTTGCGGAAGTTTCAATAATAGGAAGACGCTACTGCGTGTCGCTGCCGATGTTTCGTTTGTTTCAAGAGGCAAAAAATATGTCTGCCGCTCACTAAAAAAAAGATAAGTTATGCAAAATTATATCAACCCTTAGCTATGGTTCTGTTGATACAATAGCATAGTAAGCATTAACAATGTTATTATTGGTAGTATCGTAAGCAACGGAGCCCTGTGTCTGCTCGCGCTCAATCACAATATTTATATGTTCATTTTTTCTATAGGACTGTATGCATGTATGTGTGTTAGTAATAACAAGAAATAGGAAACTATTTTTAGGACGTTTTTCTGTGTCTGTTTCCAAGTGCCTACTCAATACAGTGATATTATATTGTGATCCTGTCATTAATAATAAAGGTAACTTCATCAGTCTACAAAGATAATAATAATACTGAACTAGTGTTCGTACCCACACCTGTGCCTATTCTTGGCTTGACGGCCAAAATAATAGAAAATTAATAACAATGCACCAGAAAAAAGTGGAAAAATTGAAAAAAAAAAACACGTTGATAAATGGTGCTACCAGTCAATTATTTATGTATACACTATCATCATAGCAATAATTCATGATCACAATAATATCGCAATTATAATTGATTTCTGATGGCGGTCGTTACCGGAGCATCATGACCATAAGCTAAATAGACACGTTTAAACTGTTTGTTACTACGCGAATATTAACCACAAAATAAATCAAGTTGTTTTTTTTATTTGGACCCCCACATCCCAAACATGTTTGTTGCCAACCGTTTTCATTCAATTTTCAAATATTATCTTAATAATAATAATGATGATTATAAGGGTAATGTTAGAAATGTCCGCTATGGCAGCTCCGTTTGTTTTTGTTGTTTATTATACGCCGTCTGCATATTTGTCCATAATTATCTGATTTTAAATGTACTCTATTTATGTATATATATATATATATATATGTATTCCACGGCCAGGTAATTGCAGGTAAGATGTGTGGCAGATTAATTATAATTGTTGTTATAGTATTTTATCTGTGTCTGCTATTACTGTTGTTTTTTGTCTGAACTTCATAAATGTCTAAGCTACTTTCGACCTCTCTATACAATCATTTAGTTTATAGACGTGCGTAAAAGGTCTCCCCTTTTAATTTGTGTATATTAACGCTCGTATAATAATGATAATAGTAACCATAATTATTTTTACTATTGTTAGTATCGTTCCTTGGTAAGATAAATTTTTATCTATAAGTTCGACTGGCGGATATTTTGAATGCGTTGTATTTGAGTGTTTTGTAGAAGCAGTAATGCAAAGATCTTAAGTTCTGAAACCTCGTGTTGCTATTATTGGTTGTCTAGCTATTAAGTTGCCTCGTTAATCTAACTGGGAGCCGTTTGCATTGCGATTAAATGAATGTCTCTCTTCGTTTGCCCTCGTAGCGTTTCTCTGTATCATGAAAGTTATCAGTCTGTAAGGTCTGTAATATAAGGAAAAAACGTAGGGCATGTCCTATCGAAAAGTTTTGCCACGGTGCGTCGGCAACCTGCTCCAGTTGGACAAGCTTGACTAATCGCTCATTTCTCAATCCGCCGTCAAATAAAATGATCACGTTTTCTAAAGCACGTCCGTCTATACAATCCATTTTCACGTATGCAAGCCTAGCTACTCTCAACTTCATATACCATATAGGAGTGCACTATCACAAAAGAATATACAGCAAATATTACTTGTATGCAAGTCGCTGGTATACGTTGTCAACATTTAGGTTACTTGCTACCGTCAAAAGCCACAAGGCCTCTGATGCTATTAGCGTTATTTTTATCGTTACCGATTTACCATTTTTCCATATACTTTCTAACCCTACGACGCACATAGATCTTCCATAGACACACAGATTCCCCAGATAGAGCCCACATCCACGGTACAATCAGAATATAATGCCACGATTGCTGTGGCTTTTGTTCCGCACATGGTAAATACCGGTACAATAGTCATTCAGTTCCGGTTCTTTTGTTAGGCAACAGACAAAAACATCTATTTCTTAATCATTCTAATTTTCACTAATTTTCTATTGTCATTTGTGTATTTCGCCCCCCCTCCCTCCCTCCCTCCCTCTCTCTCTCTCTCTCTTTCTGTTATTTATTTTGCTAATTAAAACGTCACACCTACCTAATTCGCCCTGCATTAAGAGTGTACCACTGCGTATCATATCGTTATATAGTCTAGGCTTTATTCACAAGTTAAATGTGCAGGCCAGCTTCAAACCCTGATTTTAGCTCCCTTGATCGTTTTAATACATCAATCAACCCATACTTCAGTGTAAAACCGAATAGCTTTTCTACAATACTTTCGTGCAAAACAGCATGATTGACCATCTTCTTATAAGTCTACATTAATTTTATAGTGCTCGCTGTCCTTGAGCTATTTTTTTCTTTCTGGCCGTTGAATTATATGTTTATATTATCATCCTAGTGATTAGGGTCTCTCTTGCTTGCTCAATCACCAGAAAATCATCCAGTGTAATATGTGTCAGTAGTACTATATTACAAATCGAAATCCTGCCGACCGGACGAATCGAAGTGATACCATCTTGCGAGCTCACTAGAATAACAAATAGTACAATACGATTTATACACGCTCTCCCATACGTTAGTATTAAGATATAAGAAACACATGGTGGTTCCTTCCACCTTAGCGGATTATATTGTTTGAATGCTGTAAGTACATCGTTGTCGCTTAGGAAATTTTCATACTCGAGCATCATACACAGGTGCCTGCTTTCGCAGAATGTGGACACGCTTACAGACGCACAACGCTTTGGCTCGACCCTATCCTAGAACTATCTAGAAGAAGGCTATCGGGTCCACCTTGAAGAGATCTTGGAGGCACTCTTAGTTGAGCTCGATCTATAATAGCACAACTTGCAATAGATCCGTATAGAACCTGTCACAATTGGCTAATGGATGGTAACACTAACGCTGGAGACCCCAAGAGCGTCGACTACCGCACAATTTGCGCTGACGGTGACAATTCAAAATCACAGTAACGCATGCAAACGACAACACAATGATCTGTCCGTCCTTAGCAGATCGTACAGATCAATATATACCAACACATTAGCTATACGGAACTATCTTAAGCTCATACCACGAAGGATAACCAAATATGTACGATGGACGCCAACCTCGCAATCTCAGCGATCTCATGATATAGGTTCGATTCTACAGCCAAATCTTTCTCAACGACCTTATTTTTCGATCGGTCGATCTGTGCTGTTCTTGTTCTTCTCAAACGACACCACACAACTTTCTGCTGTTCATATACGGAGTTGTTATTGTTATTATAAATATCTGTTGATAAACCCGTAAGCGTGAAAATGTTTCGGTGTAAGAGACCATACAAACTTGGATATGCCATATATCTGAATTATAATCATCATCATCATAATAGTAATGATGAAAATCAATATGTTCACAGTGTGCAGTGTACAGAATGAGCGGCATATCCATCATGATTGTAATTATCCTCATTTGTTATTATTACCATTACGAGTGGAAAAGCGTGTGTGAATCTTTTTGGAGAGGACGAAAAGCTAATTATATCGGCTACGATATATTATTATTATTACAGCATATACTTACATATGCTGGTTCGTAAACACTCGAATGATTTTTTTAGAGTTCAAATATTGCATAAATTTTTTTCTGAAGTTGTCAAAAAGTTAGCTGTGCTCACTTTGCTAGATTCTATTATATACACATCCGTCGTAGAGCGACAGTAAAAAATTTATGTCGCACTTTTGCCATACGCACACCTATCTATCATTCCAGCGTTGAAAATTATCATGGTCTCGAGTTCGTGGATTCGAAATCCAATCTGAAAAATCGATTTTTTTAATCCAGGATTTCTCTTTTTATGCCTGCGATTTATCATTTCGTTTTCATGACATAGTAATAATCATAAAAATAATCAATGAAATGTCAACGCAAGTCTTACTCATCGCGCAGTGTTCGCATAATCTATCGCAAACAATAATTAATATTGTAAGCGAGAGATCACAATGTACCGCTGTGCGCCATTAGCATTAGTTTCCGCCATTATGGGCTTTCTATTTTACGTTTTGGCGTTGGGGCGCATTTGTGATGTTGGGGCAAGCCAAGGAGCACTGGCTACAAGAGAGCACCACTGCAATAGAATGAATTTGGAAATTAGCAGTTACCTATATTATTAGAACAGGCCGGCTAGTGCAGCCGGTACGGAGGAGCCGTTCTAACATAGTCTACACTAATGTATTGTGCTTGTCGTTACGTTGTGCCGGCGTAAATATGCAAGATGTATTCTTGTCATTGAAAGCGATGCTTTCTGGTAGTTGCTGCCTAATTGTACGTTCTATCGATTCAATCGATTTATCGTTCCAGCTCTGCACAAACTTTGGTATCAACATAAACGGACCCACGGTCCGCTAAGGGTATACCAATCCAATCGAGAAGCTTACAACAGCTGCGTCGATGTATTAACCCATTACGTAAACAGGTCACCCACCAAAAAACCGTATGTTATCGACGGCTTCAGGGACACTAACCCAGGCGAAGCGCCGCGTTAATCCGACAAAGGCTTGAACAGACCATCGCTCTATAAAATATGAGTGACGCTAATTTCCTTCTCGTGTCTTCTTCGGACTCCACTCGGAGTTAAAATTTCATAGAATCGGGTGGCACGATCCGCAGTCCGATATCGCAGCGGTCATCGATCAGTTTGTTCACGATAATATACAAAAACTCCAATTTAGGCTGAGTTTTCCAGTGTTACACCGAGCTCGGTCTTTGTGTAATAGTACCATCAGTAGCTACAGGTCGATCTTTTGTGTTAGCGTCGCTTATTTAGCTTCATGTTCCATCTCATTTGCTAGTGCCGTCAAATGCCACACAAAACGTACGATGAGACCTTTGAACCGTCCACATCAAACGATACAGCCTAACCAAAGAAACCTTGGCGATCATGTCTTCCTCCTTAAGATTACAACCTTATGTCAACTACGACTTCAGCTACAAACGGCAAACAAAGGAAAATAAAAATTTTTACCATCAATCATTTGATCCCTTCGGTTGTTTTTGTCGAAACTATTCTTACGTTGACGCTTCGTCTTCTCATATAGTATACACGATTGATGACATCATCACATCAGAGTGACCTTCATCGTGACGTACACATATACATTAAATATTGTTACGTGACCTTCTTTGTAAAGGAAACACAATCAGAAATCTGTACAGATTTATACTGCCGATAATTATAACGCAGCAGGAAATCGTAATGTGATAGTTAAATCAGGCACAACTATATTTATTATATAGAATATAAACGGTGACGGGTACGGTTAATAGTAGCAGCAAACAATAGTAGCCATAAACATACAAATTATATTATCATGTTGATGATAACCACTGTCTGAGTTCACGAGTTGGAAGAGCCAAGTGTCTGCCACAATGAATACACTGCTGCCGGGTGCTAGACCTTAGCTCAAGCAAAAAGCGACCAAATACGACCCTAGCGATAAAAAAAAAAGATCACCGAAATGTGGTCACAATCAGAAACTGGAAGGAAATGTTACATGGACGATGTTGTCGTCTGCATGGTCCGACGCCCAGTGATGGTATACAACATGGAGATAGTTGCTACAGAAACAAGTAACGAAAGACACCGAAACTATGTCGCCACCACAGTTCCGGCTCAGTTGTTGGCTACCTCAGACCCTCACTCGCTTTTGTTCAGATATTCTTTCATAACACTTATGCCACCCTACCATCAGCCATCTTTTGTATTCTTCTGTCAGACTTCACGCCGATGTTCGACTGTTATGAGAGGCACAATCGTCTGCTTTCCTGCAAACGATTTCTTATGCCGCCATTCTATTTTCTCCCGGCAACCAACGCTCACAATAGTAAAACCGTATACAACGAGCAAAAATCATCCGTTTGACTGACGCTCTAGTAGCTATGTTTGCCCTCTCCAAAACCTAGTTAACGCGTAGCCGTTGTTTGCTCCCACAACCAACAACGGAGCGTCTCCGCACGCGACGTCCGTCAGATGTAATTAATTCAAGTGAGGGACTGGTGTTTTCTGCTAAGTTATTATTAATATCATGATTAGCATTCTACTTAATTCATTATGACGCCCGTGTGTTTTCAACCCCCTGTCCTAATCACAATATTAGTAATAATAGCAGCAATTACACAATAATTGATATTTTTTTTCTTCGTGAATATAATATACATACACGATCTATTCGAGCGACATCTGCAGCCAAGTCACGATACTACCTGTTTACTGCATTGGTTACGTCGTATCTCATCTCTATGAAGCTTGTTTTTGCGTTCAATCTGCTACTAGGACAAATACTGCAAAGTTGTTATGATAATAACAATAATAATGCGATTAAGATTAGTTTATTGTGATTATTTTATTATATGGATGTCTCGGCGTGCAAACGTGTCGCGATGTCGTCGTGAACGCGTCTGCTGTGTGTGCTGTAATACATAGGGATTGATAGTTGTTGCTTAGTTTTGTCTTGTTAACGGTATTGTCGTACGCAAATGACCGATGAGCAACTATGATTTCTTCATTTGTTTTTTTTGTTTTTTCGAACAAAAAAACACGCGAGCACTTCTCCACCGAGAGATTCTCACGTACAGAGCCTCTCTTCTCCCACAGCTGATGTCCTGCCATTTTACTGGTGGTTGTCACCTACTGACCTAGTCTTATAATCTACTGGTTCTGAAGTCCTTTCGAGACTAGTATGCTCACCCTTGTTCTTGCCTTCCGTCCTACTGTTGTATATGCTGCAGGCGCCGTTACAGTTAAAGCACGCTGTCAATTTAACCCAATGCTGATAAGGGCCGGCCTACCGAAGGGATCAGCAATTCTTGTTTCATACACGATGCCGAATGACTTTCGTTGTAGCGGCTTTGCCAATGTTTTGCCTTCTCAAATTGGCAGGTAGCGTAATAGAGGAGGCCTGATATTACTGTTAGCTAGGCCGAGATCTGCGTTCTTGCCTACATTGCCTGGTAGGGGTTGTGATATTTGGGGGATATGCGCGTGTAAGCTGGATATGAGGATTGAAGGTGCGCAGGAGGTGCTGCATAGCCCACGGGAGGCTGATTCACCTGCAGGGTACCAGAACAGTTATGACAGAGGAAACCTCTTAAATCATAGTGATAATCATCATACCATGATAATAATATAAATGATGACGCCACAGCCGCTTTAAAGGTTATGCTTTAAGAAAATATTTTTGGTCGCTCCCTTAAATAAGGTGGGAAATGTTTCTCTTTTAAAACCCGTAAAAACCAGTAGATCTTTGTATACCACGTTGCTTTCGACGCCATGTGCCATATATGCGCGTTGTTATTTCATTTCATAGTATTAATAGTTCACGTTTGTATTTAGATTTACCTGTGGATATTGGTGGTGTGCCGGTGGCGGCGGGAATTGCCCGCTACCAGTGGCCACGTACACGGCGGTCGGTCGGTAAATGTCAGGCTGGCTCAAGTAGAGCGGTTGTGCCCCCACGGCGCCCACAGCACCCACGGCACCTACACCCATGTGGCCCGTCGAGCCGACGCCGACAGCTCCCACCGTGCCAACACCCATACCTAGCTGTCCCACTTGGCTAGCGGGCGCCGCAGCAAACTCAAACTGCAGCGGGGGCTGCTGTCTTGTATGGGCGTGTGAATGGGCGGCCCGTGCATGAGCACTGGTGCTCACCCCAACTGCCGCTTCCTTGAGCAGCCGTTCAGGGTCGACGTACGCTGGAGCCAGGTGACCCCCGTGGCCATGGCTGCTAAGATGGGCGGTATGCGCCGTTGGCAGCTGTGAGACAACTTCACGTTTGAATGTTGTCTGCTGAATGCTACCCGAGCTGCTGCTACCCGCTAATCCGCTGCCTGGAATGGTGGCGTACTTGTGCGACCGATCCTGATACGAAGGCGTGGGGCACCAGGTCAGAATAACAATTGCAATAGAGATATGTTGGTGAACAGGAATGTGAACAATCGGCAAGTGTAGAAAATATGTTTGTTAGGAGAAACGATTTTTGCTTGACCAAAACTGTAAAAGAAATGCCGTAATTGCCAGTCTAATTTGGTTGGTCCTTGTGCTATGTCAAATAGCTTTAGATAATCGTCTGATGAAAGCATCGACGTTAATAATCAAGAAGATCAATAACTGAATGTCGATAACGATATTCTTATAGCAAATTGAATATAAATAGGAGAACTCGAAAATCTTTCTATTTTGCTCACCTTGTGTAGTGGCTGCTGTTCGTCCCTGGGCTCATGTTTGATGTTCTGGAGTACCACAGGCGAATAGTGGTTTGATAGCTGAAGTACTCGGGAATCGGCCGGAGTGGCCCCAACGGACCCGGATGCCCCGGAAGCACCCGGTGAGTCATTAGGCAGCGGCATCGTGCTCTTGGACGAGGTTGCGCGAATGCCGCCGCGCGAACAACCAGGGTATTCTGTTGACGGTGTAACCTGCGCCGAGTGACATTTACCACCACTTGACGTCTCTGAGTCCCCGCGTTCTGCGGAGCTCTTTGATCGGCCACTGCCACCACTACAGAACAGGACGTATCCAAATTTCAAACACCAAATTCACTATTTATAATTGGTTCATTTAGCCACAAAATACAAATGGTTGATTAACAAAATCAGCTGGCATAGAAAAATCTTCTGTACTGATCTTGACTCAAAGATAGATCCTCGAATACCTAATCCCTAACCTAAAACGAAGAAAAAACGGCTATACGACTACGAAGTCGTACATCATTGTCACTTAAACGTGGCACCTGGAGATAATTCCTCAATTATGTGTTTGCAAAGGACAAAAGATGTCAAAAAGTTAAACATTGGTATAATAGAAGAAGTCAACCAGCCTGTTCTGTGTGTTGGGCGCCTCATCGTCGCTGTCCGAACTGATCGTGATCACAGAGACCGCGCGCGATGGCGAAGGTGAATCTCGAATGACAATCGTGCGGCCTCCGCTAGCTCCCGATCCAATTAATGCCTGTCCTGATCCCTGCCCGTGCCCTATGGACACGTGAGATGAATGTAAATGCGCGGCTGGCGCCTGGATCTGCGGTTCGGGATGCCACTTGACTGTAGTGTGACTGCCCTGCGAGACACCCATCGACGACTGGCCTCCACTGCTGCCTCCCGATGATGGGCCGAGACCACTTCCCGACGCAGGCGGAAGATGATACTTGGGTGGGGTGTTCTCTTTGACGCGCTTCTTGACAGGACTCAGCTGCGTATGCTGCCCGTTACCGCTGGGCGTCTGTGGACCGCCACCGCCGCTACCACCTCCATTCCCATACGGCCCGCCTACGAGCGAACCACCTAAATGTGAATGGGCGTGTGCGGCCGGTGCCAGCGACGACGATCCGAGCGGGGCGTACGCCGAAGTAGACGACCCCGAGACGCCAGCAGCCGACGCGACCGAGGCCTGCGCAAGCGCAATGGCTTTGCCAGATGATGATGTCGACGGGTGCCGTTTTGAATGGGACGAGTGTTCACGGGTTGATGAACGAACAGAGCTACTTTGGTGAGCAGCCGACGGCGTTTGGCCCACCGACATCCAGTCTGAGCAAAGTTCGAGAAAGGAATGGAGGTGAAAAAGAATTCTTAGAAATCTCTAGCATCTTATCTCTATGTACAGGCGATAAGCTAGATATCGGCGAGCAAAAAGTTGTACTGGACTTCACGCAGAAAACAGAAGTAACAAACGATAGCCATATCAACCGCCAAGTATTGTATCACACAAGGAGAAGCTTGAAATAATATATGAGTGATGAAGTTAAAAATAAATTAACTGATTAGTTTTAGAATAGTAGCGAATAGTTTGCTCTTTGTACTTACCGGGGGCCGGAGGAGGTGGCAATAATGTAAGTCCTGCTCGCCCCCACGGATCTTCTCCTCTCGTGAGTGGCGGACCCCAAACATTTGTGGGCGTCACGAACATCTGATGCGGACGCGATGACGTCATCGCGGCGGCAGCTGCCGCCCAAGTGGCTGCGGCAGCAGCCGAGGACGGGTTCTGGGGGCAGAGAAGATTTGAGTCCTGCGACCCGACAGGCACACATACACATACAATATCGAGAAGTACGTGGCAGGAAGCCAAAAAGGAACAACGCGAACAGAATAAATTCACCACAAATTCACGTAATATGGTGATACACGGTGTTCAGCCACGTAGCAATATCAAAACGTGTACGTGCAATGTTAGCGTATGGCAGCCCGTGAAAAGAGGATTTTCGAGCGGGAAGCGTGACCAAATCCCGAGTCAAAAAAGCAGACGTCAGGTCATAACGTCGATGATGTTGTTGTAGACGAATGACAACAAAGCCCAGTGCGTCAATTTAAGAAGTTAATTGACAGGCGCATCGTAACAGGTGATAATGCGGGTGCGATCGGTCGATTATGGAGGTGGTAACAGCGTCACAAGTGATGAGAGCAACGAGGACGGTATTGGTCCGGAGGTGCCGTCCGCGAATCGCGGCAGCAAAAGGAGTTGGGGTTGGGAAAAGACAGGAAAAGCAGATGACAACAACAACAACAACAACGACGACGACGACGAAGACGGCGGCAACAACAGTCGAAGCAAAAGAACAGCAAATGACGAGAGTAGATAATGGTTAGTATCTAGTGTTATCGTTAACATTCGATTGTGATGAATGAGTTTGCCGCGCAGCAAAAGGAAATCGCATAATTCATACAAAGGTATTTCATGACAGAAAACGTTTCCTGAACACCTATTGGACATAACAGTGCCGTATATTAATGACGGTTTACCTAAGTATTTCACAACACGAGCAGGCTAGATATTTTTTACTAGCTTTACTTATTATAAAGCAGATAACTATTTTGGTGATTCAACAATTATCATCAATTTGCAGATCTTCTATATATGCAGTTAGCATGTATCACGTGGTACGTCGGTTATCGAAACAAGTTATTGAACTTACCGTAATTAGAGCCATTTGCCGGCCGTTTTGTTCGACTACGGATACCGGCACGTATTGCTGGGTGGCAAGATGCAATGGTTGAATCTGCAACGTTTGTTGATGGGGCGCTTGAACTCCAGCCGCTCCAACCATCATATGCTTCGGTGAGTTTAGACAAGCATTAACTTGTGGCGGACACAGAATAGAACAAAGTTGCGTTTGAGGTGCACCCTGTTGCGCGCTTTGTGACGCCTGTGGACCTGTGAACGGCCGATACAGCGCGGTAGCCGGATGGTATAGTGCCGCTGCTGCAGCGGCCTGAGCGGCCGCGTGGTGACGCATTCTTCGATGACATGTCGCTTCCATCACCTGAAATGATGAACAAACAGATTGAAGTTACTGTCACTATGATTTTGGTCAAAAATACGGACTTTGTATTTCGCCAAGTGCTATAGGTAGTAATGAGATTAGTGGCACCCTTTATATAAATGCTCACATAGAGGTTTTTATAATCGTTGCAGTTCATTCAAAGTAAATACGTGAAAGAACCTGAGCAGAGTTCTTGACATGCTGGCAATGGGCATATTCGACGAGGTGTCCAAGGTTAACATAATTATGGTTGATAGCCTCCCCGGGCGTAATGCGTCTCTCCTGGTCAAGAGTTAGCATCCGCTTGAGCAGGTCAATCAGCTCGCGTCGATCCGCTTTTTCCGCTAAGAGTTCTCCGCCTCCCGATTCCAGGTCCACTGGCACATTCACCTAGATAATATACACCGGCAACACATTTTGTACGATAACGGTTTCAACCGCCGTTTTTTTTTAGCGAAATAAATACATTTCTAAAGAAAATATCATCAGGGTCAGCAATGAGTTCAACATGTTGAGCAAACCTGTGCCATGTCGTCGAGACAATTAAAGATATACTTTCGGGCCTCTTTGGAATGAATGCCTGTCTCGTTTTCGTGCTCCTCGGGAGTCTTCAGCCTCCAGAATGGATAGCTCGAGGACGACGCTTGTTCTCGGACAAAGAACCGCGTAGTTTTGGTGGCCGCATTTAGCAGATGTTCAGCGGGAAGACCTTGCGTCTGTGATATAAATCTGGGAACAATAAATTTATGGACGCAATCACATTACAAACAATAATTGGGATTTCGGCCAGCTTTTGTGCTTCGACTCACTTTGCATGTACATTTGTAAAGCATGTTTGGACTGGCTTATTTAATTGGCCGGATATATAAATAAAGCTGAAAGTTCATAAAAAGCTTCGCGGTTCTCCTATGGACAAGTTCTGTACTCCATTTTGTATATATATATATATCAAATGGCGTAAAGACGTAAGTCAAAAAAAGACAAACCTGATTTGATCATATTCCGAACCCCCTGGATATAATGGCCAGCCCAGAAAAAGCTCAGCTATGACGCAGCCCAAACTCCACATGTCAATCGCTTCGCAAAATGGAAGGCCCAAAATAATTTCAGGGGCACGGTAATACCTGCAAACAGTAAATGTTTTTATTTAAAATGTCTCTTTTTTAGCTTAATATCTTAACGCGGTTTTAGAATTTTATCAGTTGTTTCGATGCTGTTATTGTTGGGATCCATTTCAAGCAAAATATAGCAATGTGATCATGCATCTTCTCTAGACTTACGTACAGAGCTGCCGTAAGAAAAGTAACTTCACTCCGAATCAAATCAACTCTTAATCTATGTCACTAACCTCGATTGAAGATAGGTCGAGCATACGGCCTTGCTCACGTGCGATGCCGAACCAAAGTCAATCACCTAAAATGTATTGGAGTTACAAGGGAGACTCATTATGCAGGTACGGATAAACACTAATACCTGTGAGGCTGATCAACATGAAGAAGCTTGCGATTTGAATTTTCGCGGGAAAGTTCGTGAAATGTTTATCGTTGCCCTTTAGTTGTAATTCGTTTGTCAACAAAATTTTCTAGTGTCGTTGAATTTATTTCGTAGTTTACCTTGACGCGGAATGGTTGTCGTACAGGATCGACGAGCATGATGTTCTCGGGTTTGAGATCGGCGTGTATGAGCCCAAGCATTTTCAGTTTGAGTAACGCAGTTAATACCTGCTGTAGAATGGGCCGAATATACTTGAGTGGTAGAGGGGAAAACTTGTTCTGCTTGAGAAAATCGTAGAGGTTCTGTTCGAGCATTTCGAACACGAGGCACGTGTGCATCTTGTGCACGAAGCACTCGTAAGCTCGCACAAAATTGTAGTCATCGCCATTTTCAGCCGATAGTCGTTGAAGTATCGACACTTCGATCTGACCCTGTCTTGCATACGACGGATGATTCTTGAGGATCTTGATCGCGACGATCTCGTTAGTGCCTTTTTTCCAACATTTGACCACTTGGCCGAATGTACCTCTGCCGAGAAATTCGAGGACTTCATATTGGTTCCCGGCAGCTGAATACAGCACTTCGTGCTGCACAAGCTGGTAGTCGCCCTCGGAGGTCGATGAGGACGAAACAACCTGTAAGAACCGAAGTGCAATCGAACACGATGGCATTGAGCATCTCGTTACGCAAATGGTTACCACTTTTTTTTTCTAAGGTTCAGTCGAAGGAAGAAACTACTACTTTGATTAGCCGTGTTTTGACATGTGGTAATAAACTTTGCTAGATATACAACATTTGAATGATAGGTTTATGTGAAGCATTGTATTTGACCAATATTGACTTTTTTCGCATTATAAGCATACAGGTGCGAAATTTTGCAGAAAAAAGACTACTGCTTCATCCTCCAACGAACAAAAGTTCGCTGGTGGATTATGAACGGTCTGTTCTGCCAATTAGGCTTAACGTACCTTTTTCTGTTGTCCCATTTTGCTTCGCTTGGACTGGCCTCCGGCCGTCGAATGGGACGTGCTGTTCATCAGAAGCCCGGACGCAGCGCTTTCTCCTGTCGCCGCTGCACCGCCTCCGTAGCTTACTAACGTCTCTGCCTGCAAAATTTGATCAGGAAAATAAGTCATGAGTGTAATGCCGTCCGCCATTCTAAGGTGTACTCCAGAGTTCAAATTAGGTTAGACACTCGAGTCACTCGCAATCAACGAAACATACAAATTACGTTGATTGGCATGTGCAAATGGTGAACGCATCATTTGGATTGAACAGACATACTGCTGATCTGAGATTTAAAACCTGGAAGGCCGCTGAGATAGCGAAAGTGGCGAGGGGCCGATTTTTGGTCCAAAGTGAGCGCTTCTGTAGCAACTCTGAGTTCGAACTAGCTAAAGTATATATTTTTCTTGCTTGTCTGATTTTTGAACTCAAAGCGACCCCTTAAACTTTAGAGAGAAGGCTAAAAAAGAGATTAAAGGAGGTAAGATTAGGCTATTTTTTATGGGTTGCTAAAACCTACTTTTTTGTGGGTTGCTTTCATTCCAAGAAAGAGTTGTGTAGATACGGAGACGATTAGGCAAATACTCTTGCCGCTAGAGGAGAGCAAACTTTGGATGAAGCTTTTCACATGAACAGATAGAAACACTCCTCATGAACGAGCCGTATTCAAAGATTCCTGTCTAAAATCGTAACGAACTCTTTAATGGTAACCGTGAATATACACAAAGGAACGCGTAAGTTCATTAGAGTCTTGTATAAACATGCCATACACAAAAATTTAGCTTGAAGTTAGGAAGAAGGATAGTAGAAACTAGGGACCCACAAAAAGTCTTGGAAAGACAAACTGTTGAAGGTTATCTATAATTAGCAATAAATACTATCTTTGGAAATTACTCTTCCTTTCGGCATAACGAGCAGTAACTGGCTTTTCTTATAGTGCCAAGCCTAATTGTTCTTCAACTACGCTCATATGTATTTTGCAACATATGGCCTGTCAAAGGCTGTCATTCAACAACAACACTTTACATATTTGTTCATAAACGCGATGTTCATATTTACGATTTTGCATTTGACATTCTGACTCACCTTTCGTTTTCTCGATGAGCTGCTGTGACTGTTGCTGGTATTATTGTTATTTGCGCTTCCGTTGTTATTGTTGTTGCTAGCGTTATTGTTCAGGCTGGAGATGTGTTGTTGCTGTGGATGTTGCACGCCGCCGCTGTTCGGCCCGTGGCTATGGCCGTTATTGTTGCCTGAGTTGTGACTCGAGTGATGGCCCCCTGCGGCCGCTACCCTCAAAGAGAACGAGCCTCTGTTTGTTGTCTGCTGATGCTGATGTTGTTGGGGTTGAGGATGCTGTGAGTGACTGGAGTGGTGGTGCTGTCCTGCAGTTGAAGATGACGACGAGTGATGGTGCGAAGATAGCCCGGACGAGGCGGCCAGGCCCGACAACAATGTGGATCCATGGTGATGCTGACCACCATAGGAGAAACCTGATGACACGGACGACTTCAGCGTGACGAGTCCCGATCCGGCTCCGAAACTCGTGTCCAAGACCACGACACCCCCGCCGCCGCTGGCACCTCCGCGGGCGCTGCTGGCGCCGTGAATAATCGCAGTAGCCGAAGAGGGCAAGGGAGATCCTTGTGAGCTGCTACTGGTCACCAAAACTGGGTCGTAGCAATTGCCTGATATGGCAGAGAAAGACAACGTTGCAACGAATGGTAAAACATATTAGAACACAACTAAGAACGGGAGTAAACGACACAACTTTGGTCCTTTACAATTCATAACTTTGTTGTTTGTTGTTAGTCAGTGTAGCGGGAAAATAAAAGCCGTTATTAACAATGGAAGTGCACGCACAGGGAATCCCAACCTCACAAAAAATTCTACTAAGAGCCAGTGTCTAGGAAAATGGAACACAACATTCATAAGCAACATTAAACGTTTTTCTACCAACGGAGTATTAAAAATAGCTAAAACGCGATCAGATTTGATTTTTTCATCAGGTTACAATAGTTTTTATCGTGGAAAAATTCATATAATGTATGTGGATTTGTAATGAAAGCCAGGATCATAATCAGTCGTTACTGAATGCGATAATGATGATGTAAATCGTCCTCTATGATTCATTATATGTGAAGCTCGCGGACCAGCGACTTCGCTATTCTATTATTATTTATGAGGAGACAACAGGAGTTGGTGTCAATGTTATAAACATATTCCATCTTGCTAAAGAAATAGATCGCCGATATGCGTGCACCAGTGCGTGCACTCAATCTAAAGATTCGTGTCACATAAAATTATGCACACGTCTGTTTGGTTTTTTATATAGAACAGACAGGTATATTTAGCTGGTGATATATACTGATTTCCTTGATAACAACACGTGTTCATGATACGACGGTAATATGTTCCAGGTTAATCAGAAGTTTCTATCACAGTTTCCTGCAAATGTGCGAGCATTCGTGGTTGGACACTCCAGTCTTCCTATGACACAGCACGTTTATGCCAATTGTCTACTTAAACATCCAGAGCTAGCTGTAAGCACGCCACAGGCCGACTAGGAATAAACTCATCGCCTGGTCCGCCATGGGCTGTGACTTGAGAATTTTTACCCTCCCTCTTTTTATGTTCGGCATTGTCAACCGGATCGGCTTGACTCACTGAATCGTTTCTAGCTAACTAAGGAACCCCCAACTGAGCCTAAAAGTTCTTGGAATCTTTTACGTAGTACTGAAATCCGTTCAACGTCTCTATCGAGGTTTGGCGGGGAATCTTTCCTTTTGAGGTCCTAGTGAGTCACACGCCTGAAAGGCTTGGGCGGTGAGTCACAGACTGGTTTATACAACCGACTCTCCCCCTTCTACGGATTTGAGCAAGGGTCATAGCTCTGCGACTACACGACTGCCGAAACCCTTATCTCTACAAATGTCTTAAACGCATACATGTCCTATGAGAAGACAAAAAAGATCTTAGAACCAACCTTTATAATCAATATATATTATGTAGATTGATTATAATCCATTACACAAAAGCAGACAGGATTCTGGCTGGAACTAGGCATCGAGTACGAGCGCTGTTTCGGGTGAGCAAGCTCCCAACGATATAGCGGCTCTCACGTCTTTCATATTTATTGCGACGCTTTTCTGCCTTTGGTACCATTTGTGTGTCCTGGATACGATACAATTTGAAAATATCGTGTATGTTTGAGAGAGCAAGCTTATTATGGGCCTAAATATTGCTGCGTCGGAATATAAATACTGATATTCGATTTTCGGCATAACGTTGAATGATATTAAACTTTTAGTTGGTCACGCAGTAGCTAGTGGGGTCTTCTATTTCAATATTGGGATATCCGCCACCCGTATTGGGATTGGTAATCTCAGCTCTCTATCATATATAGGCGGGCAAGTTTCCAATCACTTCGATTTGAAATATTAGTTATCCGTTCCTACAGCTCAGGGATGAGTATGATTGATTCTTGGCATGAAAGCCTAAATTGATTAATATAATTTTACTTTTCAAAGGCTACATTCATCAGGTTACCTCGCTCGCTTAATTGGATATAGATATACGGAATATCGCATGTCAACGGTCGTTTAGGCTGATCGTCCAGCAAAAACGATAGAAAAAACATCACGCGTGAGACTAGGGCATGCGAACGACTTCCAAACCATGAAAAATTAATGGAACGACGAAGCGATCTTCGACCCGCTTATACTTAGAGCCTACGACTCAAGAACTAGTAGAAATCTCTCCCAAAGACCTCATCGGGAAAACATAGCTAAATCAACTTAATTTATTGCAGATTTCGTTGCTTTTAACCCGCTCAACAATACAACTGTCTGACTCTCAGGCGATTTTCGTCTTCTGTTTCTCCCACAGCTCTCGAGTCGTTTGCTCGTCCCGATATATTTGTCTTGACAGCATCATCCTATTCCCAAGGCTAGTTTGGCTGTGTTGAGACTGAAGAAAATTATTGGTTGTTTCTAAATGTTTATGGGCAATGGAATAGGTAAGCGTGGTAGGTCTAATCAGGGCATACCGTCTGTGTCAGGGTCATTGTGTGAACATCACGCCTACTGAGACAGTTCTTCTCGGAGAAGTGCATTGTTTTCTTAACCTAAAAACGGTTTGAAAAAGATCTCGCTAGATCTTTATGAGGGCGAGGAGCTCAGATATTCTGACACATCTACGTTTCGGTAACGTTTTGCTGGACGATACGGCTTTCAAAACTAACCTGCAACATGATTGATAATCTTGCTCGGGTGGCCCGTTACGCACACTATTGTAAAATGTGAGAATGATCAGCCCTGACGATTCAACGAAAGGCTAGCGAGATGAAATTATCGACATGTTAGATGGACTAAACGACGGCGTCACTCACGCGCCAATAGTTAACTGTCTGCAGTAAAAATGGTCTCTTGCGCTGGTTAGCCGCTCTGGACAAAAGGATAGCTGTCCAGGTTTTTCTATATTTGTCCATCTGTTTTTCCATCGGGTTGTCCGCGTATCATTCGATTGTCTGTTTGCTAGCGGCCATTGAGTCAAGTCTACCACCCATGTGTTTCGCTTTAGAGCACTGAATCGTCTAGCCGTTGCAGATGTAATACGACCGAGGAACTTCATAGAATGAATTCAACGATACTGTTTAGTTAACAGCAAATAACGTAATAGTTATTGAAATAAAACGATGATTAAGTTTGTTCAGGCGGAAGAATAAGACGATGGTGGCGGGAGCCTATAGAAGCCAAGACGATGGGAAACAAATGTGAAAACACGATTCCAGACAGTATTCTAGGGGGTTTGGAGGAGTTTCTGTCCGCGTCTCGAAAATGTAATAATCAGTTTTCGACATAAGAGCAACAATCACTGTTAGTTACGCCATCTATCTGAGCTTCTTCTGTTCCTGTCGCCGTAAGAACCAAGTGATTCGATTACTATGGCACGTGTGCCCATTGGCACGTACTGTTGGTGGATTAGATAAATGTTAGAAACAGTAAGACGGCAAAAAACGAAATTTAAGTGTTACGAAAAGTATGATAATGTCTGGTTCATGATAGGTACACAACCTATCATTAGCTTTCGACCAGAAAACAGAGAGAATATGATCATTGAAGCACTGCGTTTACGTAAGTACGGCAACCTTGTGTGCATTCTTTGTCTGTCGGCTTTCAACCAATCAGAAACCTAACGTATTATCAGGAACAAAGCTACCCACCAGTTTCTAGCTGTGAAAATTAGGGCCATAGTTTGTATAGTAGCATGTTGACGTAGATCATTTGATCTTAACTATTGCACAAACGTCTGCTTTGCTTTAAGGCTGACATTACATATGGAAGCGAAGTCAACATCTATAGACGACCCTTCATATTTTTTTCCAGTATTTTGTCAAAAGAAACAACAAATAGAAAAATTAGCTATACTAATGCAACAATACTAAATATACAGCCATTGACAAGGTTTTAAAAGCGCTGTTTCCCGTGTGTAAACAGTGACAGAAAATACTCCTGAATGGCGTTGATAGTGAGGTTGCAATTTACGCAGGTAGAAGCGCGTACGCTTTGTTTCTACTTTTTGCTTAGGTGCCGCTTGAAAGCGCTGGAAATTGCATACATCAAGCTAAATTTTGTCGAAGAATTTTGGTATCGCCCGCCGTGAACTAGTCACACCCACTTAAAGAACAAGTATTTAATAACCTTCATTAATAATTCAATGGGAAAGGTAATTTTTTTTCTAAATATTAGATGAGCTGATAATAACAAACGTTTTTATTGTATCATTCTCATGACGCGTGTTAGATCTGACAGAGCCAGCTGTGCATATATGTAACCCTTCGGATGCACTCTATACAAAAAACCGCCAACTTATTTCCAGAGACTTTTGGGGCATGTTTGTCAATGGGCAGTTTACGCAGCGTCATTATGACGTCAGCCGCATGTTCCGACGGACTCAAGGTGACAACATTGAATGCGCGGAGTTTGAGAATGCAATAAATATCATTAAACGACAGTTCTATACAAGAGGCGTGTCCAGGCAGTAATCAGACCCAAAAAGTTGATTGCATTATAAAATACATCCTGATGCACTATAAAACACAAGTTATGTGCCTTTTTGAGACGCTAAATGAGGTAGCTGTGACATCGTCATTTATGTTTTTAATACGTGTATATATTGAAGTGTATATACACTGGCGATATCTGTCCGCCCCTGCGACAACGAGGGCCATTTTTTTAACCACGCCCACCTATTGGACGTTGAACCTGCCGACTCGAAGGACAAACACAGTCGGAACGCCGGCCCAAAATCGAGGTAAAGTCGACCTAAACCCAACCGGTGAAGCCAAGTTTGTTTCGTACTAGGTAATGGTAAGCTACGTAAATGTCGCATTAATTGAATGCCAATGCTGTGCAAAGTTCATTCGCGTAAGGGAATAACTATTTGAAATGTCTATAATGCATAAGGTTAGACTCTTCTTCATATTGAAAATCGTCAATCAATAAGAACGTCGTTGCTCTGTGTGACGACCTCAGTCATCGCTAATGGCCACCTTGATACCGTTTTAGTTTACGATAAAGAAATCAAGACAATATTTGCCGATTCATTGGATTTACTTATTGGTCTTGTTCAGTTCGACATCGTCACCTTATTCACAACAGTGGGAAAGTGACCTACAATGTGATTCCAAAGTCTTAACCTGTTCAAGCGCGTTTTCTCTCTAGGTTTCTCTCAGCCACTCTAAACCTCGAAAAAAATAGGCAGCAGCCTCCGATAAGTTAATTCTGGAAGTTGAACAACTATTTTTTTAGTTAACTTCGAAACCTGCAAGTGTTTTGCTTACTGATTCATTATTTGTCACAAAAATTGCACACGTTTTTATGGGAGCCGTGTCAGTGCTTGTAAAAAAACATCGAACGGAAAGATTTCAAAATGATCGCACCGAGACATTCGTTCAATAAGGAACGAACATACGCCTAGGAAGCGAGGTTACTTCTGTGAATAAAAGTTATTGCCACAAAGAATCATCTGAGGATTCGTCGAATGAATGAAGTCGACTGCCTAGAACGCAAGCTCGATTATATACGTGAGAAAAATGACCTTTAGGAGAATCCAGCAG